GATGAGGGGGCCAGGCCTTTATATCTCCAATCACAGTCACTATATGGGACCTATTGGAGGAGAAAGTCACTCTGGGCTAGGCAGCTTCCTTCAGGCAAGAGCAATTCCCGGAAAGGGATACAGCTCTGAGCCAGCCCAGGACAATAACCCCAGTAGCTAGGAAATGAGTTCCTTAGTCCTAAAAGGGTCCACATGACATGAACCACAGTACCCACTACAGTGTCTGTCTTCCCCGGGAGGCAAGAGGAGATTCATGACCACACAGTCAAGTATGAAATTTCAAGCCATGTGAGGTGCTACGATGGGTGTGTGCATCAAGGGACGTGGAGCTCCATGCACTCACCAGAGCTCATCTGGAGGGTTAGGGAGGGCTTCCCCTTGGAAGAGGATTTGAGCTGATAGAGTCTCCAGGAATGAGTAGGCAAGGGGTCAGTGAACACAAGGGGGGGGGCAAAGCCATCCAGCAGAAGATGGCCAGGCGTGAGCAAGAGGTGATGTGCGGGCGGGAGGGAGGTACTGATGAATCACAATAAGGCCAGGGTAGCCGGGCTGAGAGCAAGGGGGACCCTAGCCTGAGGTAAGCCAGGTCCAGCAATGCCTGGGGAGCCACAGTAAGGACTTTGTTCTTTATCTAAAGAGCTACTGAGGATGCATTGAAGGCTTGGAGAGGAGCGTCAGCCTGAGGACACAGCACACAGGTCCCTCGGGTGGGATTTCCTAATTGAGTACCAGCCCCTACAGACCCCAATGCTTGGAAATGTGGATCCAGGTGTGGTCAGTGCTGTCTGCTCTAGACATAATATGACCCGGCCTGAAATGGCTCAGGACATGGTTAGGGGAGAGGTCAGTAGGGAAAACTGGTCAGGAAAACAGCTGGGAGTAAGACCCGGCCGGTGTTAAAGGAGCACGTGAAAGATTGGGGAGCGATAACCACAGAGGTCAGGCCTGAGTCCTGGCTATGGTGGGGGCAGCGCCATGGAGGGTGGGCTGCTTTGGGGAAGAAAAGGCCCAGGTGGCTTCCGGGCAAAAGTGGCTGCGGAGAAAGGCACTGGCGGGAAGAGGGTGCTGCATGGAGTGCTCAGTTCCAGGAAGTGGATTCCGTAGAGGAAGGAGATGAAGGCTGGTGGGACCAGGTCCCAACATGCTGTGCACCAGGCTGAGGAACCTGCCCATCGCCAGGGAGAGGTGAGAGCTAGTAGCCTCTGGAGGCCCCATGTGAGATCAAAGATGGAAACTCTGGGCTTCCCTGGTGGCGCAGTGGTTGAGAGTCCACCTGCCGATGCAGGGGACGCGGGTTCGTGCCCTGGTCCGGGAAGATCCCACATGCCGCGGAGCGGCTGGGCCCGTGAGCCATGGCCGCTGAGCCTGCGTGTCCGGAGCCTGTGCTCCGCAACGGGAGAGGCCACAACAGTGAGAGGCCCACGTACCGCCAAAAAAAAAAAGTGGCAACTCTGCAGGCAGTGTAGCAGAGGCTTGTGGTCAGCAGAATAATGGCCCCCAAAGATGCCCATGTCCTGATCCTCAGAGCCTGTGAATCTGTCACTTTGGATGGCAAAAGGGACTTTGCTGATGTGATTAAGTTAAGGATACTGAGATGGGGAAGTGAGCCTGGGTGATTTCGGTCCAATGTCATCACAGAGATCCTCATGATACAGGCAGGAAGGTCAGAATCAGAGATTTGAAGACGCGGTGCTGCTGGCTTTGAAGATGGGGAAGATGCCACGCACCAAGAACTGCTAACTTCCAGAAAATGGAAAAGTCAAGGAGGTGGAATGTCCCCTAGAGCCTCCAAAAGGAACCAAGTCCTGCAACACCCTCTTTTGGTCCGATGGGACCCATTTCAGGCCTGTGACTGCTGGCGAGAGATGAGGGGTTGGAGGACATTGGGATGTGGGCAGTGGGGAAGGAGAGGAAGCCAGAGATGTGAGAAGCAGCCATGGGAGTGGGGGGCACCACTGGCCGTAGATAGTGAGAGAGGGAACCAGCGTGGCCCACAGGTTTCTGGTGGGCAATGCTCATGCAGAGGGGAAAGGGAAGAGAGAAAGAAACAGGAACTGGAGAAGAGGGTGATGTCTAAGGTTGGTGACAATTCCTTTGGAATGGGATCCAACTAAGTTCTCCCCCAGATCGCCTTTGAGATGCTCTGAAGGTTGGGTGAGGGAGGAAGAGGAGGACAGTGCCACGTGCTGTGATTCAGTCTCGTGAAGGTGCCAGCTATGGAAAGGCTGGGAGGCAAGGAGACCGGGTTTAGGCCTGTGACACCAACCCTCTGCCCAGCGTCCCCTCGGATGGGACACTCCTGCTTGAGCATCTTCAAAGTCAGGGTAACGTGTCCCTCAAACAAGGGTGGGCGGGTTCGGCTCAGCTGCTTTCAAAGCTCTTCCTTAGTCTCTGCCAAAGTCAGCTTCCTATTGATGTGTGTCTCGTTTTCCTCTCCCAAGCCCCTCTGATGCCTGTGCCCTCTTTTCTCAGGCAGCCCCACCCCTGGAAAATTGTGGGCAGGATCATGTACTACTCCCAGTGAAACAAGCCCACTGCCCTTCAGGCACTCACTCAATCCTTCCCCTCTTGTACAGGTGACAAGACCTCCCTGACCTCCGACTGATGGCTTTACTGTACCTATCCTCCAGTTTGCTTTTTTTTTTTAACTGCGCCCACTCCCAACTCTGAACTGATCTAACACCTGAGGCATAAGGGAACAAAGCCGAAAAGCCCAGAGCTCCCATCTCCCTCGTTCGAAACTCTGACCCCCTTGTAATGCAGCCTCAAATCCCGTTAGCTTTTTATGAACTGTCATGTCATCCAATGGACCTATATTGAAAAAGATCCCCAAGGCACTTCCCTCACGTGCTTCTACAAAGCTGAGTCGCCCCATCCTGACCTTGCACTTTGGTTATTTGAACCAATGCGTCAGACACAGCATTTATCTAGGTTCCACGGTGTAAAGGGTTTCGTGGTTGTGGTTCTGTCTTCCCCACTGGGTTCAGCCTCCTCCAGAGCAGTGGTTCTATCCTGTGCACATCAGAAACACTAGGACCTGCCATAAAAAGTTACAGCCAATGGGAAAGGGGAGAAAAGAGAGAGAATGAACGAAGAAGAAGGAATGATGGGAAGGACAGCAAAAGCCAGAAGAGCAGGAGGGTGTTGGAAAGAGCAGAGGAGGGGACTGAGAGAACATGTCACACCTGGAGGAGCTCAGGTAGGCCTGAGGCATGATGAGAGGTAACCTAGGTGGCAGGAATGGCTGAGACTGGCAGGCGAGCTCAGGATCGCGGGAGCCCAGGGCAGGTCAGGGGAGGCTGTCACTTGGAGGTTCTGGACGGCAGAGCCGAGGCATGGGAGGGGGACAGAGACCAGATATATGGACTGGGGAGGGGGGGCGGCTGGAGAGGCAGGCACCATGCGGTTCAAGGCAGTGCCATCTGATCTGTTCAGTCTTGTGGGAAGATGCCCTGGCTGCTCTCTGATGTTGTGGACATTGGGTCGCTAGGCTACAACAATATAAGGCCAGCCCCGTCAGAAAGTGAGGTCATGACTGTAACCACTATTGTCACAGGACCTGGAGTGAGGTTGGGCTGGGTCCTCCTGTGGGACCCATACAAGAAACTGTAGGGAGCCCATGAGCTGGGGACACTGAGGCAGTGTGTGACAAAGAGGAGAAGAAGGAGGGGAATTAAATGAGATTATCTAGGAAAAGCTCTCAACACAGTGTTCAGCACTTAGTAAATATTCATTTTATGTTGACAGTGATGGTGGTGGTGGTGGTTAAAATGAGGGAGATCAGGAAGAAAAAGAGTGAATTAAGGAAAAGAGAGCAGAAAGGCAATAATCTGGTATCTACTGAGGGTCTACTGTATGCTCTCGGCACCTGCTAGCTGCCTTCACCTTTTATATTTCCATTAACCCTGCTCAGCAATTTTATGAGGTGGGTGGTCTTACCCCATTTTACTGATGGGGAAACCAAGGCTCAAAGGGTGAAGACAGCTACCCATCTGCAAATTGCCAAGGCAGGATTCAAGGTTTGTGTGATTCGAAAGCTCCTGCCTTCCAGTGAGGAGGAGATACAGAAGCGGGTGATGACCAGCTCCAGGGAACCACCTGGCTAGACACAGAAAACCCAGATATGGGCTTTGAACCCAGGGAGCTCTGAGGGTGCGGTGGGGTGGGAGGAGGTGGTCTGAACAATGACCCCATCAAATGCAGACCATGCCACCATAGAGGATACACAGCATCCCAGGAGCTCAGAGGAGGCAGGGAGGGAAGACTTCCTGGAGGAGGTGATGTTTGAACCGAGCTGTGTGATGGGCATCCATTTTCCAAGAAGATGGGGGCACATTTGGTTCAAGGCAGCATTTGGAAATGGGCAGCTCTCTGAGGATCTGTCTTTTCCTCTCCCCTGTCCCTAACTCACCCACCTTCCACAGCAGAGTCCAAATCAACAGTAGTTGCTCCAAATGTACCGCTAACATCCTCCCCAGTCTTTGTTCCTCCTTCTCTCCAAGAAATTTTCAGACTCCATCATCCCTACCACAGGACATCCAGTCTCCAGCTAGGAAAAGAGCTCTTTTGGCCAAGCCAGCTACTGGCAATGGGTCTCCACCAGAGGAGAAAGAAGATTTCTAGGTTTGGGGCAAGGGTATAAATCAATTGGCAGGGTACAATAGGAATAGAATAAATAGTATCTCATCCAAATCAGTTACGTAATATTTAAAAAGCAGCTCTCAGATAGGAAGAGCATTTATCTATTATGAACATTTTCCATTTTTAGTGTAATTGAAGTTTTTCATCCACAGCTCGTGCTAAAAGCACCAACACATTGTGATTGTCCCCACCCGTTCGAATGCAATTAGAGAATTTAATCAAACTCCACTGCAAGTGCAGTGCCAGCCAGGCTATTTTTGAATTTTTCAATCTAGCATCATTTGGGGACTTTTTAATTGTTAGTTGGGTTTATTTATTGAACTCGGGCTTAAAAGAAAAATAAACAGCGAGGAGGCAAGAAGTGGCTGGAAAGGCAAGAAGAATCCAATCTGTGCAATTTAATAAAGTCTGTCCTTGTTAGCTCCAGCGGTGGCGAAATTCCATTGAATTCAAATTTCAACCAGGTCTCTAAACATCACATTATTTACATCTTTCATCTATTATGATATTTCAAATAAGATTGTTATAAAATTGCCCCAACTTTGGGCAACCATAGATCATAAAATAGGAATATTATTGCATTAAAAGAGAGGAGCTGTATCTCATTTAAAACACATAAGCACATAATTTCATAGATTTCATATCTGTAGCTGGATATCTATCTATGAACAATGAAATTGTCCCAAAATTAAAAGCCTTCTGGCTATATATTTGTAAACACAATCAGATCACAATCCAATAATGGGCCCCTTTTGAATTAAGGCGCATCACGTGGCCTTCCTATCATTACATTTATAACTTTCCTTTTGAACAGCTCACTGCCTTCTCTTTGTCTCCATAAAAATGCAAGGGTTTGTGTGTAGTTTCTTGTTTCCTTAAGCTAATGGTATATAAAACCATGTTTTTTTAAGGCAAGAAAATTGGATCATGATTGTGAAAAATACCGACAGAAAGAAACTCACCCTTTTATAACTGCATAGATGCAGAGTCGCCATCTAATTTCTCATCACTTCTGACATAAAACACTTTGCATTTTAAAAAGAAACTGTCACCTCGCTCATTTTTATGATTCTGATAATGAGAATGGGACTTATATTGTTAACCAGGAAAGTGCAGTGATTTTATATGCACATTAAAAGGAAAAGACTGTTCCTCTAATTTAGATCATTTAAAACAAAACTTTCCAAGTGGCAACACTTTCGTTGCGATTCATTCATCTATTCGGTGTTCATGGGAAAGCCTTTCCTGAGATACAGCGTTCAAAGTAAGTGAGTAAGGCATCCTCTTCCACAAACAAAGTCACATCCTGAGGGGACTGAAATGTTGTGTAATCTACTGCAGGGTATCTTAGAGAGTCCGGTGGAAGGAGTCCACACTGGGAGTCGGGAGAGCTAGATACCATGGCTGCTCTGCTTTGTGTGAGGCTTCCAAATACATAAGGGCCACTCAGCCTCAAGTGACCAAAAGCCAACTCAATAAAGCAAAAAGTGGACTCGTCTTGTGTATCTCCAAAGTCCATGGTGGATTGATTCAGGAACTGCTGGATCCAGGAGCTTCCACAATGCAATGGAAATCTAGTCCAGCCCCACCTCTTGGCTCTCTTTTCCTCTGTGTTGGCTTTATTCTTGGGATCCGTGTAGTGGTCCTTAGTAGGTACAGGCTTGCATCATCCTTGCTGCTATTATGCTCACAGAAAATAGAATTCCTTTTTACTGGTCACACCAGTGAAAGCCCCAGTGTTCACTCCCATGGACCACCTGGAGTACCTATCCCTGAACTAATCATGGTGCCCAGAGCAATGGAATGCACTGTGAGCCCTTGTCCAGGTCACCTGCACAATCTTGGATTAGTAGAATGAAATAAGTCCCACCCAAGTGACATGGATGGACAGAGGGGCTATCACATGTCCTTAGGTATATTGGGGTTTCATAAAGTGATAAACCACTGGCTTAGGAAATAAATTCTAAAGTTCAGGTACTAACCTGCTTCTTCCCACACATTCATCTACAAATTAAGATTTTAGTTCAGATTTCTGACTTGAAAGTTAGACTTCTGTCAGAGTCATTTGAACCTCTGTTTCCTAGTCTGTAAAATGGTTATGATACTGCCTCTCCCACAGATTGTTAATGAGATTACATATGTGAAAGTATTTAGCAGAGTGCAAAGAAAGAGCATTATATATACTAAACCTTAACTACACATTATTATTATGAGATATTACGGGAAGTGAATCAACAGATGACACCAGTCAGTATCCAAATGAGTCATAACAGATTACCTTAGTCATACCTGCCTCTGTGTCTGACAATTCTCAAGGAAAGAAACATTAGGGTCTATAATATCATCTAATCATAGTTAAATAAATATGTCCTTTATAACCAACTTCAATGCGTATGACCTTGTCCTCGATCCCATTGTATGGCTCCATTTCTTTTAGACTTAACCTGAGTTCTAAAGCAATTCAGATATTCTTGGGGAAAGAATAGGAACAGGAAAGGTCAGTTTACAGCCGTTATTAGAATTTGAGTCCAGAGAATGGGCAGCTCAGATGGGTACCTCTCATTTTAGACTGGGGATGAAAAAAAAAATTAGGTTTGCCTTTTGCCTCCATTGTGATTGCTTCACTTTGTTTAGAATATTGACTTCATTTGTTTAATAAATATAGTACATGATCATTGTGAAAATATGCCAGCAATACAAAAAAGTCCAAAAGGGCCAGTAAAACAATTATCTAAAATTCCACCACTCAGAAACAATGGTAATCGATATTTGGTAAACGTCATTCCAACCATTATTCTATGTTCAAAGATAGATAAAAGGACAGAGAGATGATAAAGTGAAAGAAAAATAAGGGGACAAAAAGAGGAACGTGTTATGCACATTAGTTTGAATATTTAAAAGTACTAAACTCTCTTATATTTTAATTGACTGGAAGAAGAAAGAAGCCCAAGTAAAATTGAAAGGCTTATTTCAGATCCATTTTCTCCACTACATGGGATATGATCTCCTTCCTAAAAGATCCCTCTAAATTAACAAAAGAGATTATAGCACACTTTGAATTGGAGTCATCTTTAAATTACATTTTAATTTTAGACTAGTAACTCCCTGATATGAAGAAGGAAGAAATTAACACCATATACTTCTCCCTCCCTACCTCTCAACATACTTCTGTTCTTACTACTGTCCAGCTTTACAACATTTATGTTTTGTTCAGTGAAAAAAATTTCAGTTGGTCAGTCTTAGTCTTATATTTATTGATACTAACTATGATATTTACCATCTAACCATGATGTCACCATTCCTGCATTATTTACTTTAGTTCATCTTTTTGTCGGAATTTGTTAAAATACAAAAGAAATTAGGATGTTTAATTGGGGAAATAAACTGTGTTTATTTTCCCTGAAAGACTCCTAAGATGGTACAATCTGTGAGTTTGTTCATGCTTGTCAATATTTCTAAAACCTTTATATCTGAATTTTAAGACAATATAACTTGGCTTAAATCTTTTTTTCTGATTGAAATAAAGAGGTATTTGTTTGGGGTTTGTTAGGACTGGCTTAAATTTCTTGAAGACCACCTTTTATTCCTACCTTTACCACTTGGTAGACATTAGTCTTCTGGCATTCACTATAGTTGTGGAAAATTCTAAGATAATCCTTTTTTTCTCTTTATATCTTAAAATTTGCATTTTCTCCTAGAAGCCAATAGAATTCTATCCTTACTCTTTTTTTTTTTTTTTTTTTTTTTCATTTTTGCCTGTGCCACACGGCTTGCAGGATCTTAGTTCACTCACCAGGGATTGAACCTGGGCCCACAGCAGTGAAGGTGCCGAGTCCTAACCGCTGGACCACCAGGGAATTCCCTATCCTTACTCTTGAAATTCAGATTTTTCACAGGGGTGTACATTGGTGTTGCTCACTTATTCTATTTCATGTTTTCCTGGGATATCGTGTACCTTCAGATCAGCCCTTTATTTATCTAAGTAAAGTTTTCTTCAGTTATATCATTTAATATTTTTCTGTGCCATTTGTTCTGGTCTCTTCCTAAAGAGAGTCAAATCTGTGCATGTGTCATATTTCTCTTATCTACCTGTCTATTATAAAGATACATCATCTTTTTAATCATTTTCATATCCTTGTACTTTGAAAGTGGGAAGGTATTTTTGGTTGACACAATAACTAGGGCAGGGGTGGGTATAACTGGCATTTGGGGGATGAGTGTTCAGAATCCTAAATGTCCTTCAATGTACAGGAATCTAGCCCTATGGTGAATGTCCTATTCAAAATGCCAACAGGGCTGAACAGCCCAACAGCCATCACGTCTTTGATGATGCTTTCTGTCATGTTAATTCCAATTTTTTTAAGACTTTTTTTATGTGGACCGTTTTTTTAAAGTCTTTATTGAATTTGTTACAATATTGCTTTTGTTTTATGTTTTGGTTTTTTGGCCATGAGGCATATGGGATCTTAGCTCCCCAACCAGGGATCGAAACCGCACCCCCTGCACTGGAAGGTGAAGTCCCAACCACTGGACTGCCAGGGACGTCCCTGTCATGTTAATTCTAATTTTTAAAGATTCTAATGGGGCTTTAATTTATGTAACATTTGTCTTTTTCACGTCAGTTTTTTTCTTGAGTTCTGCCAGCTCACTTTACATCCACTTATGTTGTTTTATAATTTCTTCTTGTGCTCTATCTTAAAAGGATTATCTTTTCAATAATATTTTCAATATTATAGAGAAGTATTTGTCTAAACTTTTTGACTATTTTCTTGGGCAATTTATGTTATATATTCCCTTGATGTACCTTTTGATGAACAACTTTTTCCCTCCATGTTTGCAGTTATTTCATTTTTAAGGTATAATAAGTCACAGCCTAGTTCCTCTGTGTAACTAACTATGTGTTGACTTGGAGCAGAGGGGAAAGGTAATGAACTCTGGACACTGCCTGTTGTCTGGAGCCTCTCTGTTGCTACATGTGGGATGTCTCTATCCTGTTTGATTTTCAGAAGGGAACTTCCCTTTTGGTGCTTCCCTGGTGGCGCAGTGGTTGAGGGTCCACCTGCCGATGCAGGGGACACGGGTTCGTGCCCCGGTCGGGGAAGATCCCACATGCCACGGAGCGGCTGGGTCTGTGAACCATGGCTTCTGAGCCTGCACGTCCGGAGCCTGTGCTCTGCAATGGGAGAGGCTACAACAGTGAGAGGCCCACGTACCGCCAAAAAAAAAAGGATTTCCAGTTTCAAAGGGTATCTGTGCATCTCAGATCCGTTTTCCTAGCTGCATAACCTCAATCCTCAGTTTCTCAGGATAAACCTCAGGATATTATTATTATCCTCACAAAAATTCCATGAGGGAGTTATCACTGTCTTCATGTCACAGGTGTGAAAACTGAGACAGCGGTTAAACGGCTTTCCCAAGCTTTCACAGTAAACCAGTGGCAAAACTAACCTTTCAAAACCCAAACCTATGCTCGACCATGTTCCCAAAGCTGGAAAGATAATCTGTAGAGCACTCTTCACCAAACACTTTCAGATTCACTAGAACTTTGAATCAAAATGTACCCATTTTAGAGATGAAAAAAAAAAAGCTGAGTCCTGTAAGGCCACATGGCTAGTAAGTCACAGAGCCAGGACCGAAACATGAACCTATAGCAATCCAGTGCACCTGGAAAGATACAAATGGACCCGTTGATTTATGTCCCAATGCAGCTGAATATGGGGACAGAGAGAAAGGAGGCAGGGAGGTGACAGGAAGGCAAATGGATCCTACCCACCTGTGTAAGCACAGATGAGTCATTTCACATCCTTGAGCCCCCACAGAAAGTGGCCATCAGAACCGCATCATCAATGTTAAGTGAACAAAAAACCCTGCAAAACAGAATCTGCTCTCTTCTCTCAGCTCTGTTTTTAAAAATGTCTATCCATCAGTGCGTGCGTCTGTAAGCTCGTCTCTCTTTCTCAGATCTAACTGCTTATCTGTCTAAACATCAGGAGGGCATAAACAAAACATATTTATGTGGCAAGGATACAGGTGATTTTAATTTTCTTGGTGCATTTCTCCATTTTCAAACTTTCCTGTAAAGAAAAAAACGTGTTATTTATATTACCAAGGGAAAACACAAGTCTTACAAAAATATTGATCTTCTCAGGCTGTTGCAGGATGCCTGAGACAATGAGGGAGCGTGATGGAGCCAGGGTTCTGCAACCCCACAGATGTGAGCTCATTTCCCCGTCCCTGGCCTCAGATCGCCGGCACGCTTCCTGCTGTCTCTGGGCCTCCTCTTGCTCGTAAGTTGAATGGGGACAATATCGATTCTTGGGTCGGCAGGAGGGTTTAATGGGGTTACCTATTTAAATGTCTCCCACGGGGTCGGGTACACGGGAGTCACTCCCCCAATGTCAGTTCCTTTGCCTTCGCCGAAAATTCCAGCTGTATCGTCTGCAAGCCTTTGAGACGTACAGGCCAAAACTGCAGCCCAGGAGAACTCCTGAACAACACTGTTTATTTATACAGCGAGAAGATTGAAATCATTATGCTTTGACTGGCAGCAGCTACTTATAGGCCTTGTTCCCAGCGAGCTGTTGGGATCAGGGCTCTCCCCAACAGATTTACCAACTCCTGGGCTTGGCCATAAGCTCCACGGATGTCTGTGTGGGCCTCTGCTTCCCAACCACGTGAAAGCGGAATCCTTTCCCTGTTCTATTAAGTGAAAATCATTGCCTACAGTAAACAAAGAAGGAGAGGGAAGGGGCCAGAGAAAACCCTCCCAAAATGATGGGGTGGAGCTTGGCGGCAGGAGCAAAGGCCAGCATCCCTCCACGCAGCTCAACGTGCTGAGTCTAAGAAGGACTAATTATGGATTTCATCACAGGTCCTGGATCTGCCAAAGGCTCATCTCTCTGTGAGTCCTTGGACATCACTCCAAATGCTGATGGAGCACAGATTCTGGATAAAGCACCGGGGTGTGTATTGTGGGTGTGAACGGACAAGATCTGGATAAAGCCTGGGAAAGGACATGCCAGGTAGGGAAATCAGCAGGGGCAAAGGCGGAGAGGCGGGAACAGTGAGTGGCTCCACTGGATGGAGCATGGGACAAGAAAGAACCAGCACGAGGAGGTTAAATACAATCCACCAGGAATGCTGGCACCTAGGAGATGCCCCATAGAGGCTCACTGGCCAGACATGCATATACTTTGGGAAAAATTAGGATGGAAGGGGGTCTCCAGAAAGGAGAATGTTGAAGCTTTATTTTTTTCCTCGAATCTTCGGCCTTCCCCAGTGTGCAGAGTTACAGGAAACCAACCTGGGTCTTCTAGTCCTGGGGGAATGTGGGGTCCATACAAGTCCCTTCTGCCTCCAGGCCAACTGAAGCCATTTTATGAGGGCCCACGTACTCTGCAAATACCTTACGCCAAGTTTTCCAACAGGGCATTGAGTAAAACCCAGACTATTTCTCTGATATATTTTTTTTAAAACTTTCCTTTAAGTTCAACATGCATTTGAATTCAGGGGAAACATGGACCACATGTTTTTAATCTATCAACACTTAAATCATCAAAATGTTGGAGGCTATTGGTTTGGAAGCCAACAGGAACACCAGAGCCTTTTTAAGACTTTCTTCTCCTTTTCTAGCAATCAGGAAGCAGCCTTTTTCCAAGAGGAAACCAAATTTCGACTCCAAAGGGGCTGCTGCGTTCAGTGCCAAACCTGGCATGCTCCAAGGCCAAGCTGGCTCCAGACCTGTTGCAGTGGCCGAGGAGAAGGGGTGTGCAGGCTAAGAGGCCCCCCTCTCCTCGCCCACCCTGTGCCACCAAAGACTCGGAGGAGAAAGGGAGGAAAAGGGAAAGAAAGAACGGCCACGGGCTTGAAGGCCAAGGCCCAGCAAGCGGTGGAACCACAGGCCAACCTAGAGGAAAATGCAGATCCTGGTTCCAGACATGTGCCCTGTGTGGACCACGGGCCGCTTCATCTCTGCTTCCACTTGGGAGAGTGGAAATCGACCCCCACTGCATGGAGTCGTTCCATAAGAGGACAAGAAAATGAAGTAAGATGAAACAAGAGTAGATGCAAATATACATCAGGAAACACACATGCCAGGAACACACCTGACCGGACAGTATTCCATTCGCTTTTCCCACACTCGGGGCCAGACCCTGCCTCTGATCATCCTGGCACCTCCATCCCACCTGCCGCCCTGTCCCACCTCTGCCTCACTGGCTGGAACAACGTCGGCAGGGATACTGCAACTCAGGCCACCAAAGGGTGAATTGGTAAAGGTAGGAAGCCCCCCAGAGCCAGGACCACAGAGAGTCTATTGCGTAGTGAACAGAACTACCTTCTGATCTCAACGAGAGCTCCTCGATAAGAAATGGTCCAACCCTGTCCACCTAAGATTTATTCTGTGGCCCATTTCCTGTCATTTTCCCAGAGCAGGGGTCTGCTTGTGTGTCATGGTGACACAGCCACCCCCTACCATCCCTGGCTTGAGAGAGAGCATCCCAACTCGTGCTCTCACCCATGGAAGCATGTTTGGGAGAATTGTGTTTATATTGGTGTTAGAGCTGAGGTCTACACGAGCAGCCCTCCCAGGCCCCCACCCCCAGTCAACATCCCTGTCCCCAGCACCTACAAAAGTCTGGGAGAACCCATCCCTACTAAGTAATTTGCAGTCTGAAGAAATGGACAGTAGCACAGACCCTGGTGTCAGACAATTTAGGTTTGATTTCTGGCTCCATCACCTCTGAACTATGTGGCCCTGATCAAGTTACTGAACATCTCTGTGCTCCAAAGCCCTCTACTGCAAAATCGGATAATAATAGTCTCCACTTAATAAGACTGCTGTGAAAATTAAATTAGTATACGCAAAGCACCAAGAACAATGTCCAGCATATAGTGACCCTGTGTGTGCTTGCTAGCCTCATTGTTAGTATTATTGGCTCACAGTGACAAAATCTGTAGGCACAAAAAAAGCACACGGCACAGAGGAAGCTCTCAACAAACATTAGTTGTCTTCCTTCCTCTCTGTTGTGTTACTCCTGCCCACCAATAGCAAACTCCGACCATCTGGGAAGCCTGAGATCATGGGGTTTGAATGCTGGGGGCGGGGGCCGGTGGTGAGGTCAGATGCTCTTGTCCAAGTAGTGCCTTTGGGATATTTTGCCTCTCTTTATTTTTCTTTGTAATTCACCATCAACAGTTGAGTATCCAATGCTTTGAAATCTCCTAGGAAGACATTCCCACTTATGTCAGCAGCCCATCTCCCCAGAGTTGAAGATGCAGAGAGCAAATGCCCTCAACAGTCTGGACCACCCACGACAGCGCCCTTGACCAAGCATCCCCTCCCATCAGCTAATTGAGGCTTGGAGAGGAGGCCAAAGGATGCTGGGCAGGGTAGGGAAGGAAGACAGGGAAGGAGATGAGGAGATAAAAGGGGAGTTGGTCCAGGAGGAACTGCAAATCTTAATCTTTTCGTTCTGCCGTCCCATCGAGAAAGGAATCATCACTATTTGATTAAAAGTTGTTTTAAGATCGTCAGAGAAAGTTCCATTAAAAACAACAGGTCTGGCAGCTAGAGGAAAGGATGAGCGAGGCCCTGTCTTGGAGACAAGAATTAAGCATCAGAGTCAACCAAAGGTATCTCAAAGGAGCTGAACATTTCCCAGCATTCAAAATCTTAAAACAAAAAAGAAAAAGAAAAGTGTTGCAACGGCCATTGTGTCAGGGAGCCATATGTCACTCTGACAGTTGGGAACAGCTCTGACCAGAGAACAAGACGTGAAGACAGTCTTGGTGGATCCCGTCTTTCCTGTTGTCGTGGTGGGGATGGATGCGAGTGCGGACGGGCCAGCTCATTTGTATGGAGATGAACCATCACCATCGGCCCCCTCCTCTCACCCCCAGCTGCAGGTCTCAATCCCTGGCCCAAGAGCTGACGCCAAGGGAAGGATAACTGGATGCCAGCGGTCAGCCGGAAGTAGAAGATGCAACATCAGCCGAACTTGGGTCCAACCCAACACATTTAAAGAACCCGGGGTCACGGGAGGGAGGAGTGGAGAGGGGGCTGAACCCAAGGCACAGGCACAGACACAGACCTCCAGCCTTGGAAGCCACGGACGCCACTGCCGACCAGGAGCTTTGTGTGCTCCCTGCGGAAACGAGGACGGCGACGGAGCCTGTGCTGGTTGTCAGCAGGAATGGTGAGGCTTCCCCAGACCAGGCCCAAAGCAGGCACTGAAACGAATACCTGTTCAGGCTGAATCTGAGCAGTTTCCTCCTCAGCATCCCAAGACCCTGTTTCCCAAAGAGCCTATGGTCTCTGGTGATTTGTAAGAGAGAGAGGGACAGACAAAGAGATACAGAAGGAGATGGAGAAAGGAGAGAGAGCAGAAAGAAAAGGAAAGAAGGGAAAAGGAAGAGAAGAGAAAACAAAACAAAACAAAAAGATAAGAAAAGACTTCCTGTAGTTGGACAAGTTAGAGAACTGGAGAGTTAGACAAAGTTAATGCCACGATGACAGCAGATCTTTTTCAGGTCCTTAAAGTGCTGGCATGCCTTGTAAGTCTCCAAGGAGGTAACGTCTGTCTCACCCCTGCCTCATTGACCTCCTTCCCCACACACCGTCCTTCCAGGCACACACACGATGGATGAGACATGCCATAGAGGGGGCTGCAAGGAACCTGCTCTGGGAGGGGCTGCAGTCAGGCTGGACCACGTTGAGCTGGGTCATCCTGGGCATCTGGGCTGCCTCATTGTGAATGAGGTGCCTAACTTCTCTCTATGCCTCATTTTACTCATCTGAAAAGATGGAATGATAAGACCCAGGCCCTCAGGTGCCTAGGAGGGAAGAAAATGGGCTCATGGATGCGAAGAGCATGGACTCACCACTAGGAGGGTAACTTACACTGATTACACTCTTGGGCCATCATATGCCCTGGCTGCCCATGGAAGGGTACTGGCTGGTGATTAATAGGACCCTCACCTCATCCTTTCCAGAAAGTCCAAGGCAGGTCTGGACCAACCAGAACCTGGTCTCTCATCTTGTCTGGAAAAAGTCACTTTGGCTTTTTGAACCTGGGTTTTCTCATCTGTCAAATGGGTCTACGAGTCCCACCTCCAGGACTGGAGCTGAAAGAGGACAAGAAATGAGACCTGGCTTGTCAGCTTCAGAGAACCAAATGGTCAGGAGGGAAATGGATGCTTTCTGGGGGGGGGGGGGTCCGGGGAACTTTCCAGGCATCTCACATCACACACACCCTCGTGCCAGGCACCTAGAAACCTTCCAAGCAGTCATTCTGAGGTCAGGCCTGGGAGGCAACTCAAGAAAGGAGACAGTCACGGGTGAGAAGATAAATGAGATGGGAAGCTGTTTGTCTCGCAAACAGGAGTGGATGTTCAATCAATCCATCCAGAATCAAGGCCAGGATTTATGACCAAGTCCTCTCTCCCCACCCGGAAAGTCCTTCATATTTTGTAATCTGGCACGTCCTTAAAGGCCTTCAGATGGAACCAGAAACAAGTTCAGTCCTGAGTAGCATGGCCACGGCTTAGATGAAGCAAGATCCACCTTCCTGGGACTATTTCACTCCTGGGACAGACACCCTGAGCCCTGCAGGTGACTTGAACAAGGTCCCCAAAGAGCAATGGAAAAAAACAGTGTAAGTTCAAAGTCAGAAAGTGCTGGCTTCAAATCCGAGCCTCACAGCTTCGAATCTAAACGTCGTTTGCTCACCTTTCCAAAAGGCGTCTTCAGGTTGCCGTGCAGTCAGTGTGGGAGCTTGGGTCACTTCCCCACCCTCCACCCCCAGCTGGGAAGCCAGGGGCTCAAAAATGGGTATGAGCCTCCCAGAGAAGCTGCACGGCCCGGTCAAAGGGCTTGGAAAACAACTTAGGCGTTTCCAGGAAAAAAGCGGAGCCCAGCTTGGGGCCATGGAAAGCACAGTCCCCAATGTTGAGTCAGCCTTGAGTCATGAGCTAAAAACATGCTTTTGCCAATTGCAGCTCTAGGCAGCCATAATTAATACAGGGCTGATGAAAACTGCATTTTTCACTCAACAGAGGAGGGTATTTCAGGTAATTAGACATAACCTCATGTATCGGTAACTCGCCTCCACACATGAGCTCTGGCCGCCATGTCCAGGCCCTACCTCCAAAAATAACTTACACCAGCCTTAACCAACAAGATGTGTCTGATTTCAAAACATTACCCTTCCTCCTTAAGTATATTGAGTATAAAATGCTAAATACATTAAGGCCCTTAATGGGTTTGTCCTAATCCGCCGACACCTCTCTGAGAGCATCTTTGTACCTGGGCCAGGCAGCCGCCTTGTCTTTGAGGATGACTCTTCTCTGAGCTGACCCCAGTGCAAAGCATCCTGTGGGCTGGAATGAAGTGGGGGAGAAGTATTTTGATCCATCATCCGTTCATCATTCATTTACTCACATCACAGCTACTGGGGGCCCACCATGTGCCGGGCTCTGGGCCGAATAAGAAGCTAAGAGCCCGATGTAGAGGAATTTACACTCGATGCGGGTGTTAGAGGCCTAGGTGTGCTGCTTCCTTTACAGACGGGAACCCTAAAGCCCAGACTTGCCCAGATGCACCCAGAAAGTGGATGGCGGAGTGAGGGAGAGCAGCTAGGGGCCCGCCTCCCAGCAAGCTCGGAGGCCTCAGGAATCCCAGCTGTGCCCGCCCCCTCTCCTGTGAGGCAAGGGCCGCCCCTCCAGCCTCCACTGGGCACACAGAGGTCACCAGGTGTGGCTCAGTGGAGGCCAGGCATGCTCCTGCCAGGTGATTACTTGCAGAGAGAGGTCCTGCCCGCCAGGCTCCTGACTAACCACCCATCCCGCCGTCCAGGCCCTGCCCGTCTGCAGGACACTCCCGGGAGAGCTTCCCCTGGTTCCCATGACTAAGGTGGCCCTCCCAGGACAGCGTTATCCTTCATTCCTTGCCGATGTCGCAATGTCCAGCCAGATGAGGCAAGAGGGACATTTGATGTCTACCGACACTTCCAGAGAAGCCCAGGGAAATTGCCCAAAGCCAGAATCCCTAAAGGGCCGACTCCCAGCTCCCCTGGTCCCCACCCGTCTTTCTTCAGCATTGAAACCCCCTTTCCTGTTTTTTTTAAACTCTCACGACCTCTACAGAGAGATGGAAATAAAAATAGCAGTTCACACTGGCTAAGCAAGACACGAGGCCCTTAGCACCAGCATCTGGGGGACGGGGGACAGGGGGTGCTGTCAGCGCAGTTTTGCACATTTTACTCCAAGGATCAAAGACTTTAAGGAATTTCCAAGGTCACCCAAGGAGTGCAGGCAGATCTGGCTCTGAAAACAAAAGGTCTCTCTAATCATGGCAATAATAATACCAGCTAACAGTGGGAGCTGACTCTCTGCTCAGCCCTTGTGGGTGTTGCTCTTTAATCCTCACAGGCCACACAGGAGTGAGGAACTCTGTTCACACCCAGCCCTCCAAAGCTCCAGCACAATCGTCTGCCTGCTGGGCGGTACTACCCGCTGGGTCCCGAGTCCCTGTGTGCCTACGGGCAAGTCGCTTCCCCTCTCTGGGCTTCAAGTGTCCGTCAGTGAAATGGGACATGGATGCCTCCCTCACAGTAAAGGGAACAAGAGAACCTGGTCAGGACAATGTTCTCTTCTCTTTTTGTCTCCGCCTCCAAGCCCACATCTTGCTGAAAACCCACATACTCTCAGAGCTTGGATGAATCCCACCAGTTCTGGAGACCCCAGGAAGAGCAGCCCAGTCGTGACTCTCATGCTAAGGAAGTGATGCTCTCTTGTTAGCAAAGGGAGCCATGAGGGATTTTTGGCCAGTGTACTAACAAAAACTACCTTTAGAAAGATACACTTCACAGTGATTTGAGCAAAAGATTGGACCCAGGAGAGACCTGGAGAGACGAGGAGGAGAGTGCAGGATTCCAGGTAAGAGATGAAAACAGCGCAGAAGCCATGGATGGAAAAGTGACTGTGGACATAAATCCAATAGGACAGGGTATAGGGCCATTATTGGGGGACAAAATTGCCCCCAGCTGAAAACCAGTGTCATCTATAAAGGGACACTTTCAAATTCAAGCCCTCAAGTTTCTCACCTAACACTCATAAGATTTTTAAGAAGCAACAATAACAGTGAGGGCTTTGCACTCAGGCCCCAGGACAAAGCTGCCTCACGGCTCCCCGGCCACGAGGCCGTAGGTAAGTGGCTGCAAATGTTGCCTGCTACAGGGTGCTCGTGTCTGTAGAATGGAAGTGGGGGGGGGGGGGAATGGAAGACCCCCAGGGACAGGGCTCCCACCTGCACAGCCAGTCAGGAAGCTACACGGCCTTCCCAGGAGGATCTGGGCCATTGGGCCGCTACCACTTTCTGGCCCGAGTCCCCGTGATAGAGCTGGCAGGGATGTTACTGCTTACAAAAGAGGGTGGATCCAGGTGAAGCAAGAGCTGGGACCTGCCTGAGGGGCTGAGAGCGGCCCTGAGCCCTGCCTGGCTGACGAGGAGCTCTCACTTTCTAGAAATCTCTGCCTCTCCCGAGACATTTGCATCGCGAGCGTTCACAGGACCCAGGGCCCTCGGTATTTCCTGGTTCTCCTTGTCTGGAGGCAGCCGGCGTGGAGTGACCTTCCAGGCTATTCCGTGAAACTCAGCCAGCTCTGTGAGGCCTCAGGAGGGCAGCCAGCCCAGGCCGCCGCAGCCCTTCTTGGGAAATTGCTTGTCCGAGTCCATCTCGTCCACCACGGGCAGGTATTTATCAGGTGGGTGTTGGCAGGGAGGATCCAACTGGCTAAAGAGTCAGTCATAGGATTACAACACTGGGAGGTGCTTGAGAAATCATCGTCCACTTTGCTCCAGCCCAGAGAGGGCGAGAGATCAGGAAACACGCGGACAGCTCGTGTCCTGCCTGCTGACAGAGACCAAGAGAAAGCAGAGCCCAGAGAGGCAGAGCTGGTCTCCTGAGAGCTCAGCCAGTAAGGGGTTGCACTCAGCTCTCCCCGACTTCAAAGCTGGTTCCAGAAGCCGGCACCCCCTTCCAGCTGGCTTTACCAAGGGGCTCGTTTTGGTGCCATCCCCCTGAGCTCACGTGGAACCCTCAGTGAAAGCCTTTTTAGCTAAAAGCCCAACCACGTAATCCCACCTGGCATTTGAACCAACTTCCACTGGGCGACGCACATGGGAAACCGGCCATCGGGTAGCATGGCCAATGGATCCATTCAAGACGGGAGAACACATTATAGTCGTTAAAAATCATTAGGATGGTTGGGCTCTGAGGTCAGATCGGCAAGATAAACACACTTGGAGGAACTAGTTCTGCCTTTTCTTGCGGCCGCTCTCACTCATCCAGGCCGGGCACCCAGACAGACAGACTCCCTCCCCCAAGAACCTGCCGCAGGACTCTGGGCAGTGCCCCGCTCTGCTGCAGTGCTAAGCAACTTCTTGAAAAGCAATGTCAGGGACTCGGTTACTTTCCCGTGGTCTTTTGCAAATGGGCAGGATAAAAAGACACCCCACCCCCAAAGAAATGTCCTTTGATCAGTCTCCTCCGAGAAGTCCTCGAGCCCACCTGTGCCACCCTTTACACGCAGAGGCAGAAAGAGGGATGCAGTTCTGCACGGGACAAATCACTCTGGGTTGTATCTGCTCGTCCGCTATCCCCACAAGAGACCAGCAGGCACTAAAGGGCAGGGACCACCTCTTAGTACCAAGGCTGCTGCCATTGGCTCCATGCACCAGGCATTTTACATGCATTAGCTTTAATCCTCACCGACAACCCTACAAGGGATATATTATTATCCTGATTATCCAAATGAGGAAACTGAGGGCTACAGAGTTAAAATGACTCACTGGAGGTCACGGTTAGTAAATGGCAGGGACCTATCTGACCCGAGTTTGCCCTTTCCCGCAGCCCCAAGCTCCCTCCCTCCTCTTTTCGGCATCCCTGGGAGCAGCACAAGACCTCACACATAGTAGGTGTTGGTCACCTGTTTGCAGAATAAGTGAATGAGTGAGTAATGAATAAAATAAATTTGAAAACTTCAGTTACTTAATTTGCATCTTCCAAGATGAGTACATCAGTGCGGCTGTGAGGAAGAAAACAGACTGTTGATTAAATAGTCTCCTGGATTTTTGAACTCAGTGAAAACAATCTCTAAATAATTTTGTGACTTTCGGCCTCTTCTTAGCACAACAAAAACATTTTAATTAAAGCTTATTCCTAAGCCAACTTTTCTTTCTTAAGAGATGGGGAGCATTTAATGTTCACTGAGCATCTACTATGGATACCTACACCACTGTCAGCACACTCGCTCTTCCCAGCAAATGGGTATTGTTACCAGGTTCCAGAGGAGGAGACAGAGGTTCAGAGTGGTTACATAACTTGCCTGGGGACACACAGCCGGGTGAAGACAGGAAGGTCCAAGACCTGGACCGTGTGAGTCCACACGCTGCCTCTAAACACCTTTCAGCCGCAACCAAGCTTCCTCTCTCTCTTAACACGGCGATCTGCAAGACAGCCTTTTTCCAGAGTCATCCTTCATCCAACAGGCCTTCTGATTATGTGCTCCTAGGGAATCAGAGAAGCAGAGACACCCAAAACAAATGAATAAAGAGAAAGAACCCAAAAGTCGAAAAAGAAGCTGCTTGTTTCCAGCACTCATTAATGTTTAGTGTCATTTAAAAAAACAAACAAACAAACAAACAAAAAACAAGGGCTTCCTTGGTGGTGCAGTGGTTGAGAGTCCGCCTGCCGATGCAGGGGACGCGGGTTCGTGCCCCGGTCCGGGAAGATCCCACAGGCCACGGAGCGGCTGGGCCCGTGAGCCATGGCCGCTGAGCCTGCATGTCCGGAGCCTGTGCTCCACAACAGGAGAGGCCACAACAGTGAGAGACCCACGTACCAAGATTGTCTCTTGTGGTTTGAGTGTTGACTGTGGAATGGCAGGTGTGAGATGGAGAGGAGACCTCAACCTTCTCAGTATTAGGGCCACAATGTCCAGCCTTGTCTCTCCCAGCAAATGAGTCTCCCCAAGGAAATGTTTCCAGTGCCGGGAGGGGCTCCAGTCAGTCAGTTCTGGCAGAAGGGGCTGTGCACAGGGGCGCAACCCTCCCACACGCCCCCATCCAGGGGATCCCTACCCCACTCCTGCCCCCAGCCCGGCAGCCAGCTCGGGGGCCCGTCAGGGGCATCCTTGGCAAGCAGCCATCCCAGCGGCAGCTGGAACCTGGCTACTCTCCACGCGGGCAGTAAGAGTCACGGAGCAGTGGATCCCTCACCCTGGAACCAGGCAGAAAATGCCCTGTGTCTCGTCACCTTCCCACCCTGGCTGCCAGGACCCGGCCCAGTCTTGGAGATGCTGAATAGGCCGTTTGTGGTGAGATCAAAGGGCCACCTGCGGGAAGCGCCCCACTGCCTGGAACAGGCCCAGGCTGCGTCCTGCCCCAGCACCCGCCTCCCACCTGCCAGACCCAGGATCCTCCAAACAGCCCACCTTGGCCAGGCATCACTCTGCCCCCGCCTCCTCCTGACGGTTCCCTTTCTAAAGACACCTAATCACCCTCCCCAAGCGCCAGGCTCTCGCAGGCCTCCCTGCCTCACGTGTGCTGTTCTGTTTGCTCCCCTTCCTTGCTTTCTGCAGCCAGAGGGTTCAGGCACCAAGTTAGGCAGAGTTCCTCCTCCGGTTCCTCAGGGGGGTTCAGGGCTCGCAGAGGGCAGAGCAAGCTCCATCATTGCCGCCTGGTTCCCCGCCAGGCTGCCCTGGGTGAGGAGCTCCCCGGGGGTCTTCATTGGCCACAGGGTTGCATGGAGACCTGGAAGTCCCGGCACAGGCCTTGTGCGGTTGCATCAGACTCTAGCGGGCTGAACGGGAAGGCAGAGGACACCTCCACCTCGTTCTCAGAGAGAGAAACTCGGTAAAGAATGGATGAATGCACGCCACTCAGAGACACGTCTGGAAACAAGCTTAGATGGACCATTTAACAGCGAACCCCACGTAGACCCAGCCCTGCTGCAACCCTGTCTTAACCACGTCGTATCTCACTAGGACCATTGCCCACTGGACAGCTTCTGCTCTTGTGCCTCCAGTAAGTCCATGCCAAAACCACTGTCATCTTTCGAAAAGGCCAATCTGATCACGTGACACATCCCTACCAGAAACAAGCGCTTGGCCCTCGCCAGTGCTTTGAAGGCACAGACAGACTCTCCACCCCAGCACACAAGCCTTGAAGCCGGGCTCCCAGGCTCCTACGTTTTGGACATGGAGGCATTTGTCTTTTCCTACCCTTTTACCATTTTCTTCTTCCTCAGTTTACCCCAGGGTCCCCCCAAGATGTCACTGAGCCTCTGGCACAGGGAGAAGGTCATTTTTTCCAGAGTCCCCAGCTCTTACTGGCAATACCCTCACTCGAATGTAAGCTCCGTGGGGCAGGACTTTGTCTTGTCCACTATGCTGGGCACACACACAGCTGTTTAATGCGCACATGTGCGTGAACAGCCCTCCACCTTGTCGACCGTCTCTGTAGAGGCGACCCTGGGGGTTGCGAGATGGCTTTAACGCTCTTGATCAGCTCCTGGTCTGTCTGGTTCTTTCCCCTGTGATCTCCTGGGGGCAGAGAGCATGATCCCTTCACCTGCCCCGCCCCCAGCCCAGAGCTGTGCTCCCTGGGCTTGTATTTTGAACAAATGAAGGAGTAGCACCTACTGTGTCAGAGGAGCCCACAGGCCCAACATGCCATTCCTGTGCACTGCCCAGAACCCCCAACCGCGGGGGCCAGTCTGAGACCTGGGGACCTGCCGCTCTGCCCCATTTGATTTTCCATTGGTCCTGCCCCAGCCCTCCTGTCCCATCTTTTCTGAAAGCGAAAATCTCAACTGAGTTGAAAGTGAATTGTGGCCAGTTGGGTCGTGAAGGGATGGAGACCTACTCTCCTACTAGGAAGAATGTGTGTTTGCCTCTTGGCAGAGAGGATATTCCGACTGATCATTTTTTGCTCCGCCCCAGCTCTGGACGGAACTCCAGCCCCAGGCCCCACCCTGCAAGACAGAGAAGAATGGTTTTAGGGGTGAGACGTCACTTTTCAAATCCCTTCTCAAAGGCCACCTGCTCCTGGAGGTCCTTCTGGGTCCCCTGGGGAAAACCGCTGAGGGCTCTGGGCTCCCCCAGGGCATCACTTACTCCTGCCCCGTCATGTGTGACCCTGTGCTTGTACAGTCTGATGGCCCTGTACCCACGAGTGTTCCTTCAGGAGGGGATTATGAGCTCTTCCTTTTTATGTCCATCTGTTCCTTTAACCAGCCAGGCTTTTATTCTCTGCCCCGTCCTGGGCTAGGCACCGGGTGCACAGAGTTGAGTTAAATGTGTGCCCTCCAGCGGCTGACGATCTAGTGGGGGTCGGACGATCACCCCTCACCACGCAGCATGATCAGAGCTCTAAGGGTGCCAGCACCGGGCTGTGACAGCAGAGAAAGCCCCTGACCAGCCCAGAAGGACACGCAGGTTGGGAAATAATTCTTAGAGGAAGTTGACATCTGAGTGGGGTTTTCGAGGACGGATAAGAGTCTGTGGAGCCGTAAAGAAGGGAAAGTGGTGTTCCGTCTGGCTGACGACAAGCAGCCCTGGACAGCCCCATCACATGAAGGGGCCCACAAAGCATGCTAAGACATTTCTTCTTTTTCTTGTTTACCTTTCCAAGGTACCAAAGAAGGGTTAGGCCAATGTGTGAGACACAGAAGGTGTTGAGAAAGCAGATGTGTGCCGTCCATTCAGTTGGATTTCTCCCTGCTGCCTCCTAACCCCCATGAGATTAGAAGCTTCTGGATGCCAAGGTCCAGATACTTGTGTGTATTGGTGTGCATCCCCAGAGCGATGAACACAGTCATGACACTTCACAGACACTCACTCAATATTTGCCTTGACCAACAATTGCACGATGCATTGGGTTTGGCCAAGCACCCATGACATTGGGTAATTTTACCTGCCCCACGCTTGCCAATGTGCTAGGCATTCTGTATGTGCTACTCACCTGATGTCATTTGTCACCAGTAACAACACAACAAGATTGATATGCCACCTCTATTTTGCAGGTGAAGAAACTGAGGGTCAGGGGGCAACTGGTAGGTCTATCTGACTGTGTGACTCTAAACTTCCACATCGGTTCCCATTTCACAGGTTAGACAAACTGAGCTCACCTCCCTTGCCCAGGTCGAGAATAGTGAATTCAGAAAAAAAGCCCCGAAGCATGACTTGTTTGACTTGGCAGAGTGTCCAGCTCAAGAGAGTTGGGTACGCACGCATTTCATCACTTGCGACCCTTTCATGGCGAATCCTCCGGGGACCCAGCAGCTGACCAGCTCCAGCCGTTCAGGCTTGCTGAGGCCAAGCGGGCTCTGGCAGCCTCTGTCTGCCAAGGTCCTGGCCACCAGGGAGGGCCTGGCACCCTCTTGCACACCCCCTGTGCAGCCCTGACTTGGGGAAGACAACCTCCCAGCAAACTGCCTGAAGCGCAAGAGGTGATATTAAAGGCATCCAAGTCGGCCCCCACCCCACCTGGATCTACGAGGCCACAGGGCTGAGACTTGGCTTTGTCACAGTCCTGTCACCTATGCCTCAGTTTCCACACCAATGGAAGGGAAAAACCACATGGACCTTCCTGGACGTTGGGAGGATGAAGGGAAATAGCAACATCAACCAGCCCAGCTGCATCAGAGACTCCTGAGGGCACCTTAAAATGCAGGTTCCAAGGCCGGTCCTGCCATCTGATCCTGGGGCCCAGGGAGCTGTATATCTAATGGACTCTGCAGGTGATTCTGGTGGGAAGCCAGGTGGGGGATGCAGTGAGATCATCTCAACAGTGAGACCATCTCACTGTAGGAGACCCCGACACCCCCAACACCCATAGGGCCCGGGAAATGTCATTAGTTCCTCCAACTCCAGCCAGCCTTAAGCCTCTCTCTGATGGTATCACCTGTCTAGGGACCAGGGCATCACCCCTCCCTCCCCTCCCCTCCCCACTATCCCATCCGTTTTCTCTCCAACAAGAACCTTGGAACCTCTCACTCCATTCCCCTCTCCTCCATCCCTGTAGTGGCCACTGGAACCCAACCCTATTCACTCCTCACTCCTCCCGGCCTCCAGCCTCCCCCAGTCCATCCATCCTGCCATATTTTTCCACCCCATACATGGCCCTGCTCCCATCACCCCTTTCGGTGGACGCTAACATCCTGTAAAATCAGACTCTTTCACCAGCAAGGAATTGAGTCAGACTTCCCAACTCACCTGTCCCTCCTGGGCTACCACCACCCAGGGCTCCCATCAAAGCCACACTCCTGTTCTTCTCCCCTGCACCCCCTACTTCCAACCTGCATGCTTTCTCCTCTCCAGCCTCACTCCTCCTCCTGGACATCTACCCGCTGCCACCAGCTCCACCAGTCCCAGTTCTAGCCCCCCATCAAGGCCATCACAAAGGTCACACCCTCTACAGAACTGCCCCTGGGTCGCTTACAAGCACTGGGCGCCAGCGCCGCCCCGGCCCCCTCACCAGCCACACTCCGTCCCTGTGTTCCCCTTCCTCTCCCCATCCGCCTTCCAGCATCCTCCTCTGGGCCCGGGAAGCTGCTCTGCAAACTAATAGCCCTGGGTCCCCAGCTCCCTCCCTCACCCCCACCTCCCCGGGTCTCCCTCCTTCCCTCCCCGCCCACCTCCAGCCCAGGGCACTGGGCACTGCAGTATCTCTTAGAATCTCCCTTCTCCCTGCTCTCCCCTTTGCAGATGGGAATTCTCCCCAGATGACCCAGTTCGAGGGTGCCATTTCCCGCCAGGGCCTGACCAGTACACATCCTGTACCAAAAACAGCCACGTTCAAATGGCCGCGTCAATTGGGCCCTCCAAAACCACCTGCTTCCTCGGGTAGATCATGCCATTTCTCCATCCAGCTCCTGGGGCACTGCTATCTCCCTTTCTAAATCCCCAGGATGTCCAGGGGCGAGCTCAGCTTCTGGGGAGGAGGGAAGTTCCCTTGTCTGGAAACAGGAAGGCAGGACTGGCCCTGAGCTGTGGGAACATTGGAGCCCATGCCCTTGAGAGAACAGGGATGTATGAGTTTCCCAATTAACGCTCACTTCTAGAGGATGCTTCTGCAGACCCCTGAGTGGGAGAAAGGATGGGGGGAATGGAAGAGTGGGAAGGAGGATGTAGAAAGTCCCTGATATTTCACCAGACCCCCATGGGCAAACAGACACCTGAGGGGCTGGATTGCGTGCACCCCACCCACTCAGCATCTCGGGGAGAGAACGGGTGAATAAATGACTTGAAATTCCTACCAACTCAATGCTCACAGGTATATGATCTAATAATAATCAGATTCTAGAAAGACTCCAAGTTCGATTCTACTCTGATCTTTGGAACGGCCCAGAAGAAATTTGACAGGAGCATGTCATAACCACCCAAATCTCCTTCTTGGTTTCCCAGCCACCGTGCACTCTGAAGACTCTTGCTCCAAACTCAAACCCCACGAAGATCAAAAGATCCCTGAATTCAGGTTCCAAAGAGACACAGACGTTATTGCAACATCCTGACCCATCTCGGACATGAATTCCATTAAAGTTCCATGAAAGAGTAAGTACATGTTTGAATTAATACCAGTGTTTATTGGGGTTTAACGAACATCCACACCAGTATATACCTCCGAGCTTTACCTACATGTCCCTTATAGCGTTATTAAAACCCCAAAATATAATTTTAATCATCAGCAGGATTGTAATGAACACACAATCATGAGTCCCGTTCAATCGGACTCCTCAGATTCAGGAAGTAATTACTCATTCATGACACTTAATTTGAAGTGTTACCACAGATTTGTATCTCCTGAAGCCACAAGAAGTTAGATCACAGTATTTCTTGTTAGAACTTAGAGAGCAAGCTCGCTTCAGAGGGAGGATGGAGACCGGGTCCAAGAGAGGCGGGAAGAGATCGGAACAGCTGGGAACCAGTTGGGTGGCCTCAAAGACGGAAGATGAGTGTGGTCCCCGGAGAGAGAACCCCTCCCTGCTCCCGCCAGCACATCGGCTTTCTGCAGCGTGGCCTGGCGCGGGCCTCCCGTGCCCGGGAGTCCCCAGGGTTGAACCCTTCCAGGGATGGAAAGCTCATTACCACAGAAAGAAAGGTGCCCCGTGTAACCTTGGAAAGTCACTTCTTCTCACCCCACCCCGGCAATCAGAGACTAGCCTCTTAATTTAAATATGCCATCTCCATCCACAGGAACAAGATTATTTTAAATAGGTGTCATTCCACCAAATCTTTTCTACCTGCCCAAAAATCATCCCCTTACTGAGTGCTTAGGGCCAACGTCCAGCGGGGCACCTTGCCTGCTTCTGGGCAGTGGGTCTCACCTGGGGATGATTTTTAGCCCCCAGCACATTTGGCTGAGCCAGGACATCTCGGGTTATTACAACTCAAGGTTACCACTGGTACCTACTGGGAAAAAGGCAGCAATACTGACACTCTACAAGCAACATTGTAGAATGTTGTTTGTAGACAGCAATACAACATAGGGACGGCAATACAATATTCTACAAGGCACAGGACAACCCCGTGTCCCCCAACAGACTCATCCAGAATATCAATCGTGTTGAGGTGGATAAAACTTGTTCTAGATCTAGATCTGGCCCCAATTTATTGAAGAATAAAACAGGAATGGCAGATAGTGTTCACGTGTGGTCTAATTTGATCTTTACCTCGTTAGTATCCCCATCCTACAGATGAGGAAACTGAGGCCCCTGATGGTTAAATAACTTGTCTGCAGTCGCACAGAAAGTGGCAGAGCTGAGTTGATCCATGATCCATCTGCCTCCCAAGATCTTCGTAAGACACAACACCTCATCCCAGGGAGCAAGTTGCTGAAGGTATGTCAGAGACCAAGGCCTTCTCTCAGAGGTAGAACTTCCAGACTGGTGTGTACTTCCAATTCATGCAAATCTAAGCAGGTTTCACTATACACAGAAAACTCAGGTCACTGTGGGTCAAAAATTCCCTTGAAATTTGCCATGTTGAACCCTCTTGCAATGGAAACTGGTTTTCCCCCTAGTTTTGACCCCCAAACAAGACAAACCCTGTGTTCAGCCAGCTTTCACTGTTTAGAAATTTACACTGAACGTCCATGGAAAAGCCATCTCCTGGAAGCTCTCAGGAAGTGGACAAACCTTGTGAATTCAAATAGGTGAATTCAGCTATGAGGCACAAAAAAATTCCATATTCTTTCTCTTTGAGTGTTGATCCAAAATCAGGTGCCTTGGGGAATACATTTGTCTTATATTCATCACAGTTTCGAAGAGCCCCTAGAAAAAAAATGAACACACTCATTAAGAACTGATTACCATTTTCATTCATTGAAAGATATCCTCCAACAGACCCACAGGGTCACGCAGGAAGGGAAGGGGGCTTTGATGTGCTTAGTTGAGCTCATACGTATTGCAGGAGGGGACGCCGAGACACACGGAGGAAGGATTCACTCCAGGGGCTCTTTGGAGCGTGCCACGACAGACCCCCAACTCCCAGGACAGTGCTTTTTTGCATTCTGGAGCAAGGCTACTCTCATCTGAATACACCTTAATGTATGCTTATCGGAATCTGTTGTGGCCCAAAGCACTAAATATAACGGCCAGTTAGTGTCTCCAGTTGAAGGGAAAGAGGGGAGATGGAGGCAAGTGTTGAGCAGGCCCCTTTTCACAGTAAGTTCAAGGATATCTCATAGAAAAATGATGCTAAAAAGGGCCTCACAGGGCATCCAGTCAGACTCCCACCCACTTACCCTGCAGGTGGAAAGACTGAGATCAAGAATCGTAAAGCTCCTTGAGCAGATATGTTGTCATGGTCAAATACCAGGTGCCCTCAAAACTAGAACTGACCCCCTTCTAACCACCCTCCTGATTAAGGAAATATTCATGAAGATAGACACAAAGGAGGCAATAGAGAGAGAAAGGGAAGAACAGAATTGATACACAGAAAACCAGATCAGTGCAGTGGAGTATTGGCTGGAGAAATCCTGCCACCACCCAGGATAAAGGACCAATAGCCAGCATGATGAGCAAACTGATGATATAAGGCAAGAAAACTCTACCATAGTGACACAACATCTACAAAGCAGGAAGTCCAGAGAGTCCAGGTCAGACAGGAAGTCAGCACTGACTTAAGGACTAACATAAAAACAATTTCCCTGAGATGAAGAAAATCTCTCTTTGTGTTGAGGTTTCATGCTTTAAGTACTAGACAAAATTAAGGTGCCTAATGCCTTAGTGATTTTTTTTTCTTAATCTAAAGGATGAAAAGAAAAAATTCCACACTAGGGTAAAAAAATGATTCAGCATCAGACCTTTCCTCCACATTCCCAAATGACAGACCCCAGTGGAGCCTTCTCCATGGAACAGGAGAAGCAGTGACCCAATAATCTATCCCTGCCAAGAAGCTGCTCATTGATGAAGCTAAGAAAAGGAATTTTCAAAAGGCAAGGAGTTTGAAAGTATATCCTTCACTTGCCCTTGAGGAATTAAACAGTGACCTTCAAAGAAGTTCTCTAGACAAGTAAAAACTCTATCAAAATACACAAAAACCAAAAAGAGTATTGATGTTAAAGATATATAATATACATTTAACCTCGCTAATAAACAAGGAAATGTAAGTTAAAATAAATGAGGCATCATGTTTGCCTATTGATATGTTAATTATTTGTTTGATTTAAGTTCATAGTTGCTTATCTGACATTCCTGAAGTCAGATGTGTCTGTAAATTTAGAAATTTTCAGATTCTAGAAAGGAATGTTAGTGCACATGGGGAACATTGGCAACCATCCCACTAGGGTCTGAATGTTGGTGTCACACAGAGCACCCTAGTCCCCTCCTCCATGTGAGGACACAGTGAGAAGTCTGCATCTTGTAAGATGGCCTCCACCCAACCCTGCTGGCACCCTGATCTCAGACTTCCAGCCTCCAGAACTGTAAAAATAAACATTTGTTGTTTTTAGGTCACCCAGTCTGTGCTATTTGTTATAGCAGCCCAAATGGACTAAAACACCCCCCTCACCCTGAAATATGTGAAGTAGCACCCCCAAATCCAACACTGAGATAATTCTAAGGCAAAACATGAATATTCACACTACATGAGATAAAATAGAGGCAATAAATATCTCCATGTCAACTGAGGTCAGATTCATCCACCAAATAAATGATGAAACAATTTTCATTTTCAGAAAATTTTGGATCTCAGAATTACAGATAAAGACTTGAAACCTGTAAATAATACCTAGGTTTGATAAGGTAGCTGGAAAAAGATGCTTTCTTGCTTCATGAATGGAAGTTTATATTCACAAAACCTTTTCTGGATTTTAATTTGGAATGTTTCAAAGCCTAAAAAATTAAGTAAATGTTCTTTGTTCTAGAAATCTGCTGCTAGATATTGATCCTAAGGAAATCATCAGAAATGGGTAGAAAGTCTCCACTTTAGGAAGTTCAACCTAGAATTGTTCAAGGTGTCCAAAAACAGAGATGGTTAAATAAATCATGGCACACCTTAAAAAGGAAAACTTGATAGGCATTAAAAACGACATGATGCAAGAATGTTCAATTATGTAGAAAGCTGATGACAGAATAATAAGTGAAAAAGAATTACAAATCAATTTATTCTGTATAATGCCATTTTATTAAAAAAAAAAAGAAAAGAAAGATTGGACTTTCCTGGTGGCACAGTGGTTAAGAATCCTCCTGCCAATGCAGGGGACACAGGTTCAATCCCTGGTCTGGGAAGACCCCACATGCTGTGGAGCAACTAAACCCGTGCACCACAACTACTGAGCCCACACACCACAACTACTGAAGCCCGCGTGCCTAGAGCCAGTGTTCTGCAGCAAGAGAAACCACCTCAATGAGAAGCCCACACACTGCATTGAAGAGTAGCCCCTGCTCACCGCAACTGGAGAAAGCCCATGCAGCAACGAATACCCAAAGCAGCCAAAAAAAAAGAGAGAGAGAGAAATATATGCAGAATGTGAGTACATACACAGAAAAGAAAGACTGGAAAGGTATATAACCAAAGATTGAAGATAGTGGTCATCTCTGGGTAGTGTGAGGTTTTTTTAATGATTGTGTTCTTCTTTTTGCAAATCTCTACCTTCTAAAGTTTCTATAATTAACATGCTAATTTTTATAATATAAAAATAATTATGAAAAATAAACAAAATGCCTTTTTTTGTACAAAAATGAAGTGACCTGATTAAGAAAATATAGGACTACATTGGCAACATGCCAGACACAGACAAGATATACAATGTGTGCTCATACAAGGGAGGGAATTAATATAGTCTGGATGGTAGATTTATTTAATATTAGCATTGGAGGGGAAACTACCAAAGCTCCATTTACAGCTGGGAAACTGAGGTCTAGAAAGGAGGAGGAAGGTGGGACTTGACCTGAGGCAGCCTGAGTCTAGAAACTCCTACAATGACCCATACCTGACTGTGTTTTTTGTGACTTCTCCCCTTAAGTTCTATCTTCGAGAAATTGGCTGAGCTCAAGTGTGAGTACCAGGACTGTTCAAATGGTAAAATTCACCATAAAGAGGAAAAATTGATAAGAAAACATGAGGGTTCATTGTCTAGTTTCCTTTTGCTGCCCAAATTACACATGCAAATATAGACTTTGGAATTTCATCTGAGCTGAGGAGATGTTGTCGTCTTTCCCTAGAGGACAAGGAAAAGGTCGCCTTTGAGGAAACCAGACAGGGGCCCCATAGCCAAGAGGACAGAAATCTCCATCACAGTTTCGGCAAATCTAGTCCCTTCCACATGACATAAAAGGTAGACTTGACTTCAATGCAACATGGAAACCCAAAACTTTGTCACTGAGGCATAAAAGATATTAATTTTGGTAGCAAAAGATATTTATTCTTCATCACTGGTTCAACAAAGGGCTGTTTTCTCAGGTTAAAAATATATGTCCTCTCCTCCTCAATCATGTGATTCATGCTAGTGATAAATTACCATCCCTCATATACTGTCCTTTGATTACTCATGATCACCCCTGCTTCCAGGATGGAGAATCAACCCCATTAGCTCCTGCCTCAGTGAATGACTGGGCACAGGACAGATTCCTCTATGTTCTTATAAAATATTCCACACAAAAGAAATCATTCTAGGGACTTCCCTGGCAGTCCCGTGGTTAAGACTCCATGCCTCCAATGAAAGGGGTGCAAGTTTGATCCCTGGTTGGGGAACTAAGATCTTACATGCCACCCAGCCAAAAATTTTTTTTTTAAAAATTAATTAATTAATTTAATTTAATTAATAATCATGAGATTCCTTGAAAAAAAGAAAAGAAATCATTCTAAATCTTGCCACTCCCACCACACATCCCCTATAGCTCTGGGGAGAAGTGGAAAGGGAATTGTCGGCAGATTTGTGGAGACTTTGAGACTGTCCTTCAGTTTGCAGAGGCAAAAACAATGTCTTTCCAGACACACAAAAGTGGAAAGAATTCATCACCAGCAGACCTGCACTAGAAGAACTGTTAGAAGTTCTTTGCACAGAAGGAAAATGATACTAAGTGAAAACCTGGATTTACACAAAAGAATGAAGAGCACCAGAAGTGGTAACTCCATGCGTGACTATAAAGGTGCTCTTCTTGTTATTCAAAACTCTTTGAAAGATAACCAACTATTTGGTTGGCCAAAAAGTTCATTCAGGTTTTTCCATAAGATGTTACAGAAAAATCCTAATGAACTTTTTGGCCAACCCAGTACTTGAAGGAAAGGTAAAAGCAATGTACTGTGGGGTTGGTTTATAGCACATGTAGAAATAAAACATGTGGCAATAGCACAAGGTCAAGAGAGAGGAAATAGAAGTGTACTGTTATAAGTTTCTTATAGTATACATTAAATTAAAGATGCATATTGAAAACCCTAAAGAAACCACTAAAATAACTCAAGAAAAAAGTAGGCTAACAAACCAATCAATGAGATAAAATAGAATCATAATAAAAATATTCAACACAAAGGAAGGCAGAAGAGGGGGAGAAGTTCACAGAACAGATGAGACAAACAGGAAACCAATAGCAAGATGGTAGATTTAAACCATAGCAATAATAGCTTCAAAATTAATGATCTAAGCATGACAATTAAAAGGCAGATTTTGTCAGATTGGATTAAAAATAAACAAAACAAGACCCAACACTATGCTACCTACAAAAAAACTCACTTTAAATATAAAAACCCTAACACCAAACAAAAGAAAGTGGGTGTAGCTACATTAATATCAGACAAAGTAGATTTCAGAGCAAAGAATAACAAAAAGATAACAAAGGGCATTTCATAGTGAAAAGGGTTAATTCATCAAAAAGACATTCCATTCCTAAATGTTTATACAGTTGGTAACAAAACCTCAAATTATGTGGAGCAAAACTGTTAGAACTGCATGGAAAGAAAGACAGATTCACAAGTTTAGTTGAAGTTTTCAATATCCCCTTTTCAATCATTGACTGAACAAGCAGACAGAAAATCATTAATAGTACTTGAGCACTATCAACCAACTTGACCTAATTGACGTTTGTAGAGCACTTCACCCAACAGCAGTGGAATACATATTCTTTTCAAGTGCTCATGAAAGAGTCCCCAAAATAGAGCATATTCTGGACCACAAAACAAGTCTCAATAATTCAAGTCATACAAAGTATGTTCACTGACCACTAAGGAATTAAATTGAACATCAATAACACAAAGATATCTAGAGAATCTACAAGAATTTTGGAACTAAATAACTCATGGGTCAAAGGAGAAATCAGAAGGAAAATTAGAAAGTAGTTTGAACTAAATGAAAACGAAAATAATCAAAATTCATAGAATGTTGCTAATGTATCATGGTAAAATGCATAGCTTTAAATGCTATATTAGAAAAGATGAAAGAAAGGTCTCAAATCAGTGATTGCTTCCACCTTAAAAAGCTAGCTAGGGCTTCCCTGGTGCCGCAGTGGTTGAGAGCCTGCCTGCCTATGCAGGGGACACGGGTTCGTGCCCCGGTCCGGGAAGATCCCACATGCTGCGGAGCGGCTGGGCCCGTGAGCCATGGCCGCTGAGCCTGTGCTCCACAACAGGAGAGGCCACAACAGTGAGAGGCCCACATACCGCAAAAACAAAAACAAAAAAAAGCTAGCTAAAGAAGAATAAGCCCCAAATTAAGCAGACAAAAAGGAAATAAAATAATCAGAAGGGAAATCAAAGAAATAGAAACCAATAAAAATCAATAGAAAAAAATCAATAAAACCAAAACTGGTTCTTTGGCAAGATCAATAAAATTGATGAAACTCTAGCCAGACTAATTAGGGAAAATAGAGAGAAGAACCAAATTGCCAATATCATAAATAAGAGAGGTGACATCACTATAAATTCTACAGATACTAAAAGGATAATCAGGGAACATTATTAAAAATTTTATGCCAAAAACTCAACAATTTAGGTGAAATGGACAAACTACCAACACTCACAGCAGGAAAATAAATAACCCAAACAGCACTTTAATTATTAAAGACATTGAAATTTTAGTTAAAAACTTTCACAAAAGAAAAGATCAGGCCAGATGGCTTCACTGGTGAATCCTACTCAAACATTGCAGGAGATAATATCAAACTCTTCCAGAAAATAAAAGGAGGAACATTTCTAAGTGCATTCTATAAAGCCAGCACAACCCTGATATGAAAACAAGATTAAGATACTAAAGAAAACTATAGTGCAATAGCCCACATGAAAATAAATACAAAAATTATTTTTTTTAATTTTTACATATGTAAAAGTACACCATGACCAAGTGGGTTTTCTCCTGGCAATACAAGGTTGGTTTAATTTTTGAATATCAATCAATGTAATTCATCATATTAACAGACCAAAAAATGAAAAACCATATGATCATCAAGCAATATATAAAAGCATCTGGCCAAATCAAGC